CTCCCCCTGCTTGTGTTCCCTCTCTCGCTGTCTCTCTCTCTGTCAAATAAATAAATAAAATCTTAAAAAAAAAAGAAAAAATCAATTCACCATAAATGTGTGGGTTTATTTCTTGACTCTCAACTCTTTCCTATTGGTCTTTATGTCTAGAATCAGTATTTTGAAAGCTTCTCAGGTGATTCCATGTGCAGGCAGGGTTAGAACCATCTGGCTAGGGTAGGGAGTTTGGATGGTTCAGTTGGGGGGCAGAAGGATACAAGGTTGCTGGATACTTCATTACTGAGACGCAGACCATCTCTTCTTAACTAAACCAGTGTTCCCAAACTTGCCTGATTAAGAATCACCAGGGAGGGGCGCCTGGGTGGCTCAGTCGGTTAAGCGTCCGCCTTCGGCTCAGGTCATGATCCCAGAGTCCTGGGATCGAGCCCCTCATCGGGCTTTCTCCTCAGCCGGAAGCCTGCTTCTCCCTCTCCCTCTGACACTCCCCCTGCTTGTGCTCGCTTTCTCTCTGTCAAATAGATAAATAAAATCTTAAAAAAAAAAAAAAAAATCACCAGGGATCCTTGTTAACAGTAGATTTCTGGCCCCTGTGCACTGAGGAGACATGGCCTGTAAAGGGTGGGGAGGGGCTGTCTTTGTGTTGGCCTATGCTTCCAGGCTCTACCATGTGGACCCTTGCTCCCTACCAGTAGTTAGTTGAATAGAACCTTCAGGAACTTGTGTGTTTAATGAACTTTCCAGGTGAGTCTTATGGTCGGGCCAGCTGGGGAGATGGTGAATCTGCTGGGGCAGACCAGTAGAAGCCTGCTTACCTGTACAATGATCTTTCCATGGAATTGCTGTTCCCAAGGTACTGTTGGGATGAAGCCATCATTCTGTCTTAAAGGAGATGATGAGAAACAGCCCTGTGAAACCCATTGTCACATTTACTGTGAGCTCCTCCTTGGCCATCTTGTTTACTCTGGCCTGTCATATACACACAAATATTGTTATACCCATATTTCTTCCCACTCCTTTGCCTCATTTACTTTATTTAAATTTCCATAGTACTTTTAAGGAGTATTTAACTTGCCTACCCTACTACATTGACAACTTCATGAGAGAAGGGATTTTTGTGTTGACTACAACGTCCCCAGCACCAAGAACAGTGCTTGGTACCTAGTACACACTCAGTAAATGTGTGTTGAGTGAATGGAAAGGTTATATTGAGGTTGAGGAATGAAGAGAGAGACTTCTCTATTTTGGCATCTGCTTGGTTTTATGTCATGATGCTGTGAGTCATGGGAGTCCATGTTTTTCTCTCTTTGCAAGAGCTGCTCATAGACTAATGCCGAATTTGTGTCCACTCAAACTGTGTGGGGCCTGATGAGTTATGTGTCATGTACTAACCTCGGACCTTTAAAAAATGTATTTAATTTATCTTGTATTGTGTGCATCTCTATAGGCTGTCCAGATCCGCTTTGGACAATGGCAGGCTGTTAATAAATACTATTTAATGAACTTTGATTGAGACGTTCTTAATTTTAGATATTCTTGATCTGTGAAAGTAAAGGCTTGGGTTCTAGGTGGGGGAAGGAGAGCTTCTTTTGAAAATAGGATTTCTTTTTCACTCCTCCCTCGTTTTTTGTTTTTTTGTTTTTTCCTTTTTAGGATAGAGTTTTTGCGGCATTTGAAGAGTTTTTTCCAGATTATGTTTAAAATTGAAACCAAGCCATGTGGTGAAGAACTCAAGGGTGGGGATAAAGTGCTGATGGCCTGTGTTGGTGTTGGTTTCTCCAACCTTAGCAAGACCCTCAAGTGAGACTGTCACCAGATAAGGCCCCAGCGCCTACCGACAAGCAGAAGCTGCCACGGACACCCAAAGGGACCAAGTCCACATTCATACAGGACAGGATATGCTTCTGCATCAAGGATTTCTTAATTTCCCATTAAAAAAAAAATCAGAATATTTAAATAAAAGACATCTCTGTATCATGTGGTTTCTAGCCACCTCTGCAGTGGCCCGGACATTGCTCAGGAGGCCCAGTCATGACGAGCGCTCCCTTGGCTCACCTGAATGAAGAGTGTGCTTTCAGGACACAGTTGTGCTGCTAAAACAGCCTCACACCTGCATCCCTGGGCTTCTAGGGATGCCTCCTCCTGCAAGGACTGACTGCTTTGGGCCTCGGTGTCTGTGTAGGGATTAAGTGAGATAATACGGGGTGGAGTGCACTGCTCCACACATGTCAGAATTGGTCTGTGAAGCTCACTTGTCCCTCGTCTTCTGAATGGACTGACATCATGGAGGCAGGTGCTGCCCGCCTGTCTGGCTCATCGTATGTGTATGTGGGGCGAGGAGTGCCTGGGGAGGGCAGGGCTCAATTAAAGTTACTGGATATTTTCTCTATCTAACGTGTGCGGTACATTTTCTTTATCCTCATGGTAGCTCTTCGATGTAGGTTTTATTATATTCTTAAGAAAATTCACAAAGGGTATTTTATCCCTTTGAAATTTATAATGTAAAGACATTACATCTCCTGATTTAAAGTGCTGCATGTAATAGCGTCAAGAGTCTGGAATTGGACCCTACTCACAAACTACAAAGTCAGATTATTACTGTTTTGTGGATGCTAGTGGAAGACCTGCGGATCTTGGGTCAGAGACAGAGAACTTTGTTACCTAGAGCACAGTGAGCAGCATGGGCCTCATGTTTGTATCGGTTTCCCCTGTCCCCCAAGTCCCACAGTGATGATGTGCAGGGAGGAGAGGAAAGGAGATGCCGAGCATGCAGTGGGTTTGCATCACGGCCAAGGAGTCTGCACACTTGGGGACTGCTCCTCTCCAGCAAGCCTGCTCTTTCTTCCAGATGGGGACATTACTGCATTCCTCAGGGCTGCTTGCTGTGAACACTATTAGGAGAAAGGGCCCAGAGAAGGGCCTCCTGAGCAGGAACATGCAGGAACACTCAGCCCATGGTGGGTCGCCCCTGACAACTAACAGAGTCTACGTTTGGTATGTGTATGTGGCTGCAGTTGGTAGCAAGGGAAAGATAATTCTTTCTACGAGAATTACAAATGGTATTCTCCGTCTGGGGGCAGTGGGTAGTTTGAAGTAAGGAAAGGTCTTTGCCTCCCTAATCTTTGTACCCTTTTATTTTTCGGGGAAAAGGGACCAGAGGAAGTCTGCGCTCTCATGACTCGGGGTGTGGGAAGTTGCGGAGATGTAAGCCTAACATTGCAGAGAGCCAGGCCATTTTGAATCATGGCATTCCACTTAGTTTTGTGTTTTGCGTAAGAGATGAACACAAACTTAGCATCTGAGAACAATACCTATGTACCCTCTCACAGTTATGTAGATTGGAGGTTCTGGTGGGCTTGGCTGGATTCTCTGCTTAGAGTCTCACAAGGCTGATGTCAGGGTGTCAGCTGGGCTGGGCTCTGGCAGAGAATGAGCTTCTAGCTCATTCAGGTTGTTGGCAGAATTCAGGTTCTAGGACTGGAATTCCTGTTTCTGGCCGGCTGTCAGCTGGGGACGTCTTTCAGCTTGTAGAGATGGCCTGGATTCCTTGTAACTTGGTTCCCTCTGTCTTCAAGCCAGCAGCGGTACATTGAATCCTGTTGCATCCAGTCTTTCTCGCGCTTTGACTCTGACTTTTTCTTGTGGTACCAGCTGAAGAAAACTCATGGCTTTAATTGCTTTTACATGCCTCCTGTCTTACCTGGATAATCTCTCTATTTGAAGGTCCCCTGATCACAACAGTACCTGAGTTTGTGTTTGAATAGCCAGGGACCGGGAATCTTGGACGGCCATCTGAGAATTCTGCCTACCACACATGCTGCTGCCGTCTTATTTACTGCTGCTGACGTTTGAACCCAGATCTGCCCATGATTAAATTCAGAAGTAAGGGGCCACGTTACTTTGGACACGAGAGATACTGTCCTCAGGGGCTTTCTGTCTGTTGTAGCAAGCTCTGGAAACGTTTAGGGTGGCATGTGGACTCCAGGCAGATCACTGCAAACAGTAGAAGGGGTGTGTGCTGCTCTCTGCTGTGAACACGGGAGGGTCCAGTGTTTCCAGCCCTCCTTCTGCAATGGGAATATCTGGTAGTGGTGATGATATTGCCAAAGGAGGAGAAATGTAATATTTATTCATACAGCGCGCTCCCAGCCCCTTCTCAAATGCCCTTGAGAAGCAATACCGTTCACTGGGCAGAAGCCATTCTCTGCAGGTGGCTGGTCCGTCTTTGACATTGGGCCCCTCCAGTTTCTGCCTTGTTCTTAGATTCGCTCCTGGATGGCCCAGCTGCCCCTGGGGTAGATGGAGGAGAGATTTTAGCATTTTAGGCTTGGTTTTTCTATTCCCTGTTGGACAGAAACAGACCATTCTGAGTTCAGTGAGGCTAGTGATTTTTTTTTTTTTAAGGGCATATGCTCCTTTGACCTTGTCGGGGGTCATGGCAGAACACTGCTTTTTGCCTTTCTATCATCTGCCTACTTCTGTCTTTCAACACCCTTCAACTACATTCTGTGTAAACACCAGCCAGCCTCCTTGATCGTAATTACTTTACCGTATTCATCAAGGCAGTTGATAAGGGGTGGGAGGAAGCCAGGATATTGCAGCATACCATACTGATGGGGAAAGAGTAACAGGAGGCTCTGTGGAAATCCAAATTGCCCTCCCATAGGCCAGCTGAACCTCATGGTTTGTTTGTTTTTAATCTTTTATGAAAAAAAGTGGTGAAGGACATCACTGATTACAGACCCAACAAGAAAACCCCAAAGCTTAAGTTGCATCATGGTGCCTGTCTTCTCATTGTCACTGGACAACAAAACCCCATGAGGTGGCCATTTCCTGCTCGGTCTTTTGTTTCAGGGGCCTCGTCAGTGAGGCCCATGGTGGCAGATGGTTTTATGCTGAGTGGAACCTTCGAAGTAGGCAGGATGGAGTAGAGGAGCCTGGAAGAAGTGGATAAGATCAAAGGTAGATGGAGAGAAGGAAACACCAGGGAAATAAGGAATTTCCCACAGGGTTGGCCCTGCCTAAGGTGGGGGTGGGACTCACCTGAGTGAGGTCAGGGACCAAGGCGGGCTGATGAAATGGATTTACTGGGGGCTTTGGTCATGGTGTGAGGATTAGGATGTGGGGTTCCATTGGCTTTGCCTGTTGGTACTTAATTGGAGAGCTGTGGATGAGAGTGTGGGCAATGTTTGCCAGTCTGTGATGAATAGGGAAGCAGCACCACAGACCAGATGCCCCACCCACATCTCCGTCGTTCCTCACCTGACTCCAGGGTGGATGAGAAGCAGCTTGCGCTCGGTCAGAGTATCCACGATCAGACCACCCTAGCTTGTTCTTCACAAGGACTAATGGTTAATGGGTATGTCAATAGGCAAGCCGAGTCTTTTTGGACTCGAGTTGACTAAGTCTAAGAGGCCATTCGAGTGAAATAATTTATCAGTGTTTGGCATCTTACAGAGGCCAAGCCACATCACTCCTTTTCTCAAGCAAATAAAAGCTTTCATTTCGTCGGGGACTGCTCTAATTCCTCGTCATATTTGGCCCACACCTGCCAGATAGTCTGACCCCAAACCTGAGCACAGGCTCTGGGTCAGCCCTGTTGACCAGACCAGGTCAAGAGTTTTGGTGGAGGGGTCACTCCCTCTCTTCCTGGTCCTTCTGATGCTGGTGGTTCTGGATGTGGTTCCTGCTCTGCTGAGACCCTTCCGTTGGGTCTGCAGGGGAGGTGATGGTAATCTCAGGAGGTAAGGGGGGCGCAGCTTGCTTTCTGGTTCAGCTTGGCTGCTGACCAGCTGTTATGACATTAAATAATTTACATCCCCACACTTGGTTTCCTCTGTGGAATTGAGGTCAATGTGTGAGATGGTGCCAAAAAAAATCAGAAAGATGCCCACCATTGCCTACTTATCCCGCCAGCCCTCCCCCATTCTCCTATATGTTTATTTGAGGCAGCAGGTAGGTTAGTTGGTGTGAGTTTTTGTTTTATAAATATCAAGATATTTTCCCTGAGGTCTCAGGACACTCTGTTTCTGTTTCCTCCCCATTCCCAACCTTCTAAAGAGCTTTGCACCCAAAAATATTGATTGATTAATTTGTTAATAATGTCTGCTACCATTTGGGAAATGTTATATTCAAACCTATGAATTTCTAGAAATCAGAGGCCAGCTCAAAGACAAAGGATAAGGAACCAGCCCAGCAAGGAGATGCATCTTGAGTGTCCACTCCTTGAATACCCTGTCGCCACAGCCATGAAAATGGTTGGCCCTGCTGCTGGACTCACTGGTGTCCATTTGGGCAACTGGTCTTGGGGAGCAGATGATGCCCTAAAGGAAGGGGTATGGTAGAACATCCTGAAGCTCGTCATAGGTCTTCAAGGAAAGACATTGGTGGGGACCATATATTTTCAAATGGTGCCTGGTGTGCTACATGGAGGGATCCAACTTCAGGTTGTGACAGCTTACCTCAGGCTCTTTTAAATGCTGAGTTCACTTGGTTCTGGACTTTCTACATACTCCTCTCTCAGTTTCACGCTCTGTTTTGACCTTCCTGCTATTTTACCTGTTAGGCAATTAAAGTCGTCTTGCCTAAGATCTGTAAGCTTTGAAGAACCAATGGAAATGTTTGAAAAATACCAGGAAAAAAAAAATCCTGGCTCCAAATTATGCAAGGAAAAGAGCAAAAATTATTAAATACCCACAAAATGAAACATTTCCTTGCTAAATTGTTAAATATTGAGAACAACAGAGATGAGAGTTTCTTTCTTCACAAGCATTTCTAAGCAGACATGACTGCCAAGGAACCATAGCTAATCATCTTTTAAGTGAATTGCTGGTTCCCTAAGCAATTTAAAAGACAAAATTATAAAAAGCTTCAGAAATTATGATGTGGCTACATTTTAATATGTGTGGTTTGATAATGCTGTTCCTAAGAGGCCTAGAAAGTAAAAAGTTGTGGGAGCCCTCCCCTGTCCCTGAGCCACCCTCTTAGACCGAAAGCCTCAGCAGTTCCTGAGGGGGACCCCATCCCATGATGCATCCCCAGCTACATGTTCTCACAGACCCGGGCGGCCTCCCCTGTCTTGGCACTCACCACCCTCAGTCATTTGTTCCTGAATTGTCCCCGCTGTCAACCTGTGATGGGATGGAGTGAGTTAATCTTTTAAGGTTTGATATGGCTATGATTTTAAAGCTATTTTTGAAAGCCTTTATTTTTTAAAATATTTTATTTATTTGAGAGAGAGAGAGGGAGATCACAAGCAGGGGCGAGGGGTAGAGGGAGAAGCGGACTCCCCACTGAGCAGGGAGCCTGACGCGGGGCTCGATTCCAGACCCTTGGGATCATGACGTGAGCTGAAGGCAGACGCTTAACTGACTGAGCCACCCAGGCGCC